CAAAAAAAAATCCTAATGAGGTAATGCTGTTGCTATTTCACAGCTAGGACAACTGAGGACTGAGTGACCAAGTAATTCATCAACCCTGGCATAGCTGGTAAATGACACAGCTCAAATTTGAGATCAAGTCTGGCTGACTCAGCAACTACTCTGTACTTCTATATAGTGCTGCCTCTCTGATGGCCTTGTCTTGGTTTGGGAGAAAAATGTGTAATTCACAGTTTCCTAAATCACATGACTAGCCTAATTTTGTTGTATCCTGGCAAATAATACAGATCTGTGAACTTCTCCTGTGCTCAAATCAAGCATCCTACCCCAGAGATTATAGGGATCATTGTACCTGAATGAATTCTGCTCTAGAAGACTTGGCAGAAGCCCGTATTTCTCTCCTCATCTGGGGCACAGAGGCAAATATGCACACCAGTTCCCAGAATCTGTCCTGGCATTTTACAACTTCTCAAAGTATACCATCAAATTCAACCCCATTGGTATCTGTAGATCCTCATCTAAAAATTATTACTATTACTAGAGTTCAATACTTTGCCAAAACTCCAAATTCTTAAAGCACATCCTCCCTTTGTTTTATATTTCCCGAGAACAGGGTATACTACAGGCACTTAATACAAACTTCCTGAATTCAATGCTGAATGAGTGTATGCAATATTTGTTTATGTATACTTGACTGTTATAACCAGAATAAAACAAAACTAATCATAATGCATATATATGCATATTTAACATATACAATTTGGAATGAGTTTTGCTCTCAAATACATTTCATATAATGTATGTAACATGTCTGTTTTAGAGCTTGTTGTATATATGAGGGTACTATATATATGTAGTATGTATGTGTTTGTATGTAATGTATATATATGTGTGTGTGTGTATATATATATATACATAGCTACAATCAAATTGGAGGGGTCCTTACATATAATTGCTATAATGTCTCATTTGTCAGGTATTAAGGAAAGCATATTCAAATAATTGAGAAAAGTACCTTAAAAGCCAATGCTTGATTTAAATCTATTGGATAAAATTATATCCAGAATATACTCTACAAAGTTTCATAACTTCATACATATATATGTTTAATGTTGTACAGTCATTTAAAAAAATAATTCAAGGTCACAGTGATGACCAGTGGTTTTACTGCATGGTGGAGGCTAATGGCTTGAGATTGGGGATGCCCTCCAATGTATTTTCTTACCAAATCCCCTATAATTTTTAGATTTCTTCCCACCTGTTCCTTTTTCTCAAGAGAAGTATAGAATGGCCAACTCTTTGGTCTTCTGGACAATAGGCCTGCCTCTTTTACTACAAATTAGTTATTAAATCACTAACATTTTTTCTATAACAATATGTATCTTCACTCTCTGTCACACATCCTTGGATGTTTCTCTAGTCTTTAAGGCATTTAGTTATGCAGGCATCAGTGATCCCTTCACTATTAGTTAGCTTACTCTCCCTCTCCTCCTTGTTCCCTCCTTATTTGCTCTAACTTAATGGACAAGCATTCATTCCCATTGGTGGATTTAGGGTTCATATTCCTAAAGCTCATTAGAAGTGATAATGTGTTTTTCAAAGGAAAAGTAAATGAGACAAAAATTTTAGTTACTGTCTCAGTTCAAATAAATATAATGCTGAAACCCTGAAATAATTGCATTTCTAAAACTCATATAAGTCACTTACCATATATTACTATTGGTTCACTCTACTTGGAAAAAAATTAAAATATATTTGGATTTTATTATGATTCTGAAGTCTAATCTTTCAAGTTAATATGTCATTTTTATTCTTAATCCCCATTTCATAAACTTATATAACCATTCATTCATTAATGAGACAAGTCACATTTAAACAGATGTTGGTAGAAGCAAGTGAATTTAAAATACAGAATAAATCAGGGATCTAGGATTTTACATTCTTTATTTAATACTCCATCACATGCTTCTAAATACCCCCAAACCATACCCTGAGAGCTACTCTTCCTTTCAACCATTCAGTTTCCAAGTACCCTGCCCATGTCAGGCACTGGGCCCCATACAAGAACCTAAAGGAGAACAAGAAATATGTCTACTCAAGGTTTCAAAGTCCATCTCACACACAACCTCCCCAGCACACCAAATGTCATATATCTTTTTTTTTAAGTAAAGTAAATTTAATTGAATTTTTAGAAGTGTTTGAGGACTACATAGAGCTTTCTAAAATCTTTGGAAATCCCTGGATGATAGACAACCTGGTGTATGCAAGCCAGTGTCAAGGACCAATCTTTACTTTCTCCTCAAGGAAGAAAGTAAACTTTCTTTCTACTCAAAGGACCAGCTCTACTTAAACTTAAACTTTCTTTCTACTTTACTTTCTACTCAAAGGACCAGCACTCTCCTTACCTGTCAATTCTGGTAACAATTCTGGTACCTCTCAGTTCTCAGAATATTACCAAAAAAATGAGGAACCACAGCATGGAGGATATCTTTTTAAATAATGTTTTTCAAACTGGAAACAGAATTTAATTTTTGAATCTTTTCCCAAAGCTCCTAGTATTAAAACTCTACCTCCCACAACGCCCCATAACTATGCTAGTCCTTTCTTACACGTGCTTTTTAAAAGTATGTTAAAGAACACATTCTACTTAAAAAGCATGGTCTACTTTCAAGGAATTCTGTACAATGTCTATTAAATTCTACCTTAGACAAAGCAACACTATTTTGAATGTTCCTTCATACTTCCTTCCATCATTTACTTCCATAATCACTTCCTCAAAAACAAAACAAATAAAAACACCTTCACTTTATTTTTTTTCAGGTCTTCTGAAACAGCAATGTCTCCTTTAACAGTGCTTTCTTACTTGCTTAACTCAAACTCTATAATCCCTGTGTCGTTGGGTATGACTTTAGACTATTTTTAACTAGCTATTTTAAGTAGCTTTACCTGTGTTGTGGACACTCTGTTTTCAACAAATCCCAAATATAATTAATTATCTGCCTCATCCCCCTCCTCTACCTGTATTTCCCCCCACTGCAGACACTATTGTCTTCACTATTCCCTAAGCAGATGCCCCCTTGTCATCCTCGACTCACACATCTCACATTCAATCAATTGCCAAGATCTCCTACTTTTGAAAATATGTTAAACCAATGCATATATTTTTTCATTACCGTGCTTTTATTCAAGCCTTCATAAATTCTACTTTCTTGATGAAGCCACTTAACTGGTCTTCCAACTTTTAATCTTGAACCCCACCCCTACCCTAACAGTCCACCCTACACACTGCCATTAGACTGGTCTTTCTAAAAATTCCAAATCCCATCACTTCCTTTTCCTGCCTAAAATCCTGCAGGGTTCTCTCCATTATGTTCAAAGTTAAATTCATATAACAGCACAAACAAAGCCTCTTGTATCTAATCCTGCCTCTGCTGTTATTTCCCCATTTTAAAGGGTGCCAAAGGACACCAAGCTGGGGTGCTGCACAGGCAGAGGCTCTGCCATCTATGCCTGTGACCCCTCCACCTGTGGCAGCACACACTTTTCACACCTCTGTACTTTACACTCTGCCTGAAACTCCCTTGCCTCTCGAGTCTCATGACAAATTCTTCCTCATTTTTCCAGACTTTGGCAAGCAGCCCCACACTACAGGCAGAATTGTCCTACTTTTGCTGTAATCATAAAGTGTGTTTTATACACATATCTATTTAGCACTAATCTTAAACCACTGCTAGACATCAGCTCATTTCTCATCCCCACCCTAACTCTGAAGAAAACTAAAACACAAAGAAACTGAAGGTGCCGTGTACCAAGGGCTGAACCTTAGGGAGGGTCCTATCCTCTATAAATACTTGAATGCAAGGATTAGAGAGATTATCAGAGGCACTGAAGGGGACTCTCTTCCCTTTCTTACTTTTAACATCAGCTGTGGTCAGAATGGTAGGATCAGAATTGGTGAGCAGAGCTTAGAGTCATAGAGCAGTAGGGGGTGGATTGAGCAGGAGAATACGACACCTGTCTAAGGCTTGAGTTAAAACCATTGCAAAATAAATGGCCCTTTCCTTGGATTAGGAAAGATGATCAGGTAGACATGGATTTGAAGACCAATTTGGACCTAGTATTTACATGCCTGCTCTTTCATTAGCTCTTAAAAGACAATGATCTACCTGCCTTTGAAATTCTGTCTCATCTTATCTGTCACTCTTTACCCATAAACCTCACAAGGTATTTGTTGAAAATAAAGAACAAACACAAGAAAGAATAAAAGCAACAAAGAAACAAAATAAATAACACACATATATATAGTTATTTTCTCTAAATTTTCCAATAATTATAGTTGGTAAATGACCTGTTATACCCACTATATTAGTATGTGGAACTTAATGAGAAAAACCCATGTAGGTAAAATTGTCATCAGTGGGAATTACTTTAGTCCTTAAATTCTGAGATACAAAAGAGCTTTTAGGGATTTAAGGCAAGCTTGATTTCCCTAGAGAACAATTTTGTGGAATTTCTACCATTATACTGAGACCCTCTGTTAGCAGGAGAAGGGAATGGCTGTGGGAATCAAAACACCTACCAGTCAAAGCCGAGATGCAGCCAGGGACCCAATGATCACCCACCTCAGTGAACCCCATAAACTGCCTCTCAGCCCTACATTGAGAAATAATAATAATAATGCAGTGGAATTAAGTAACACACTGATAAAGAAAACTTTTAAATATTTTTCTTAATATCTCAGACTTAATATTGTTTGGTGTCACAATAGGTTTTAAAAAGAGAATTCCAGGGAGACTCTTTCCAGTAATATTCCTTAAAGTAGCATACTATAATCAAGATTCCTTTTGACCATTGGAATTTTCCCAGTAAATCCTGGCTTAAGGAAAAAAGAAGAAAATTATACAAATATAAAAATATACTAAAGAGAAAAGTGTGTTTGCAATCAAACATTAACAGCAGTGACGAGGCAAATAAGTGAGTAATTGTGTCCATGAGTGATGCTGTGTCCATCTTCATACCTCTTGATGGATTTCCAGCACAGCGGAAGACTCCCTGACGGTGGTTATGGTATGTAGCCTAGATATAGAAGAAAAATGCAATTTAACATGTATTTATATATATGTATACATATATGCACACACATATGTACATCATGTCAAAATTGACTACCATGAATATTATATGTACAAGAATCAAATTAAAATGATGAAAAATAGTAATTCAATTTAGAATTTTCAAAGTTAAGAAGTCACTTGGGTAGAGCTTTCCAAAAACAAGCCACTTGTTCCTGGCACATTTTCTGTGCCTTAGTGATTTTGTTGTCCTCCAGGACAGAATTCACTGCATACCTATCTGCCACTCAGCTGGGCCCTGGGATTCACCTATTAAAAGAGCATTCTTTTGCAAAGACAGCACTAAAACTAAAGTGATTAGGGGAAGTTTGATTACAATAGCAATGTGGGGTTTAGAGCTTTGTTCTTTGTTTTTTATCTTTACCAAAATCCTAGGAATATAAGATGTTTTCATCCTTCATTATGTACCCTATGTCTTTTGAACTTTCTGTTCCACCTAAGAACAGCCTAGCATCTGTAGTCTGCTTTACCTGCCCCTGACAATCCGTGACCATTGGTGTCTATGCAGGCAGGTGAAAGGCCTATGACTCCATGAGCTGCACTAATGATTTTCTTTCGAAGGCTCTAGTTCACTGGCTTTCAACAATGCCTGTAAATGACAATTATCTGGAGAGTTAAACAATCAAACAACTGAAGCTTAGCCCCAATCAAGACCAATTAAAACTAAATCTCTGCAGGTGAGGTCCACACAGCACCAGCTTGTCAGCTTCCCAGGTGTCTCTTACACAGCAAGGTGGAGAAAAACTATTTATGAAATGCAGAAGACTACATCTGGAAACCTGGGCAGGGGAAGTGAATAACAACCTTTCAAAAATGTCTCTTGGCCATATTTTTTATCGGCTTCCAGCAAAATCTCAAGTGACTCAATGCAGGTGTGGAGGGGAAGAAATAAGTTAACTTTTAATTAACTGTTACATTTACTCACAACTTATTTCCACAATCTTATTCATATCCTGTTGGGAACCGCCCTGACTGGTATTAGAAGCTGAGACCCCCGCCTAGGCTAAGGCTAAGGGAACGCCCTTGGAACCGTGAGCCGGCAAGGAGACAAAAGCTTATCTTCCTGGCAGAAATGCTGTTTCTGCAACTGAACCCCCCAAAAGCTTGGTCGGTTAGCCAAAGATGGGTAAGATTCCCCACGGGGGGAACAACCCAAGCCAGGCACGATCACTTTGGGAGGCCCCCCAAAGAAGGACTTGGGGGGCTGCAGCAAAAGGGGGTGATGGACCCTCACTCCTCGGCTTTGACAAAGTCTGAGTTCTCAGCGTCCGGAAGAAAATCTCCTTATCTCTCGGTGGCCTTAGTTCCCTTGCTCCACCTAAGCCTCAAACAATGACGGGGAAGTACAGCTCGGTACTGGGAAGTGCGGATTTCCCGGGGTGATCAGGCCTAAGAAAGAACATGTAAATTACTGTGAAACCTTCTTTGTTCAAGAATGCTCTCAGTTGAATGAGGAGGGTCTTAGGAGGAAGCTAGTTTGTTCCTCAGCCTTACAGCTCTTTGACCCCCAACTCAATAGACTGGCAGAGCTCTTTGTTTTCTATATTCCTTACTTCCCCTAATGAGTATTGTACGTTACCTGAGTTATTATGCAAAATGAGCCTAATAAAAGCAGGTATGGACGGTGGATCAGCGCGCTCCCCACTAGGGGGGGTGGCCATTCTGTCCCTACTTCCCCACAGAAACTGGTTTGTCTCTGTGCATGTGTGTTTTTTCTCGCGTATTGTCGAGCCATCCACAGTGTGCCGTGGTCACTGCTGGCCGGTGACCCACGCGCAACAATATCCAATACATTAGCTCTTTTATATGAAATCATACTGTTTCCTGAGAGGTCTTCCATTGAAAGCAAATACATTTCAGAGCTCAGAAAAGGAAAGAATACAGATATCAATTAATATAGAGTAATTTGATTTAATTGTTCTGGTAATGCATGCCCCATTCTAAACTGGCTTCATGCCTCTTCATCTCACTCTACAGGCCTCCACTTTGCCCACTTTCTTAGCTCCTTAATTACAACAAAGTTAAACAAGATTTTTTTCTTCTTTGGAATGTTATAAAGAAACCCCTCATGGTCAGTTCTCCCCTTTCTGCTGTTGTCTGAAGCAGATTCCTCTAAACTCTGCAACCTCATATCTCTTTAGCATTCCTCCCGTGAAGATGCTCCAACCTCTAGAACCTAGGGCTCCTCCATGCTTCAGCATGACTGCCTACTGTTCCCACCAAAAGCTGGAACTCTGGTGTAAGGAAAACAGCCCTTGACTTCCTCCAGCAAAGCAATGACCATACGTCACATAAGTGGCTAATGGGAGCAGGGGAACTGAACTGTGTCTTTCCTGGTGATTTCTCCAAAGGTTTGTAGCTTTAAGTCACTTTCTTCCACATAAATTTCTCTTTTCATTGTTGAGTATTGAGTATTTATGTGCTGCTCACACTCGTGAGCGCATGTTCCGAACACAGGGTCGGTATGAAGCAGAATATAAGGTAGGTGAAATTTGCTTTCAGCTATTCCTGCCAAATTCCCATTTCCTTCAGAGGATGGCTCATTATTTTCTCTCATGAGTGCTCTATTAAAAGTATTCTCTCTACCTATACTCGTAACAGAGTATTAATAGTTGGTAAGGGCAAAATGTTATTACTTCCAAAATAGATGTATTTTGGATCAGCATTTGATTTTTTCCAATTCAACAGCAAAGTCATTAACCACCAACAGTGGGGGGGTGGGGCGAGTAATATTTGTTACCTAGCCCTTTCCACACATGCATTTGGTGTAATTCTCACAATTTAGGAAGAGGAGTATGGCCATCAGTTAATCTGATCCTGGGCTCTAAGTAGTTAATTTGTCCCCCAAAATAGAGCCATTGCAAATAACAAATCTTAAACAGTGGTCTTCCACCTCCAAACTGTGTGTTTCTTCCTCTGTACCACAGCAATGATGACAGCACCACGTTTTAATTGTGCTATTTTTTAATTATATTTTTTATTTGATCCTGTACTCACGTGGTGAGGAAACAAAAGGTCAAAAGACTGGCCATTTAAGCACAATGAAAGAACAAGATGAAAACCCACATTTTCTCATAGCTAGTTCTACCCTTTCCCCCCTCTGTTCTTTACTTAGTTGAGGAAAATAGTTTTGAAAAATAACAGGCTTCAAATGACTAAGGAAAAAGTGGTCTCAGAGAATCCAGGCCCTTCTCAACAGCCCTCCCCTCAGACCATTAGTTCAGGTACCTGTTCCACATGCTACTGCTAGACTGGCCCTGAGTAGACACAGAAGACCACCCCTACTCCTCAACTCTTTACCTACCCTGAGTCTTCAGGGAAAATGGTGCTGGACCCCCAGATTCACTTGTCCATTGTGTAGTAGAAACAGTAAGTATGAATAGGAATGAGTTTTGAAACCCAATAGACCTGAACTTAAATACCTGCTCTGCTACTTTCTGGCAGCTCACTTAACCTCGACTGTCCTTGAATCTGTTTCTATATCTGAGAAAGACAACAGCAAGAATAACATGGGGCTCTTGTAAAAATAAAATGAAGAACCTTGCAGAGCAAAAATGTCACCTCCCTTCTTTCCTATCTTTGCCTGCCCAAATCTCATACTCTTAGCTAATAGTAGAAATGTCCCAAACAAGAGAATCTTTTCTGTTGTGAGAACTTAATTTTGAATTGATGCCATGTGAAATACTAGTCTTGAAGTTACATGGGTTTGGTCTCAGATAACAGTTGTTCAAATGAACATAACTTCCTATCTTAGTTGCTCTTCAATCAAAAACAGAATAATGAAAAGCAGTACAAATTGGTAGTTACAGAATGGTCACAGAGGTGTAGCTTAGAGCATAGGAAATATAATGAATAATATCCTGGTAACTTTGTATTGTCAGGTGGGTGCTGGAAACATCGTGGGGACTCCTAACTACTATGCTGTACATCTGAAACTAACACAGAATAATATTGAATGTAAATTGTAATTGAAAAGTGAATAAATAAAAGATTTTAAAAAACAGAACTACATTTCTCACTTTCTACTCCTGTCATCATCCCCTACATATCTCATGACTTGATTTCAGAAACAGAAAATAAATCCCTCCTTACACTAAGTGATAAACACCAACCCTAAGAAGATAGCATATCAGAGTGGCTTGAACCCTATGGGATTCTGAAATAAGAGAGTATCACTAATTTCTGGTTTCTGAAATTTTACCTGAAGTCTTCCAAAGATTTCTTCTTGGTTGCTCTCAAACTGCCACTTTGGCAACAGGCAAATTTGTAATCGATGACCTGGTAAATGATGGGATTGTACATTGCTGCTGATTTTGCAAGTAGGGTTGGCACCACAGACAGTTGTATGGGGATGGAGTCTGGCCTTCCAAAAGCGGACCACACAGAGACCACTGCATAGGGAATCCAGGCAATCAGGAAGCCAGCACAAATTAACATGGCCACCTGGTGAGAGAAAGCAGCAGAGAACAAAATCAAGACACCTGGTGGAAGTGATGGATTTGGGAGAAAGGCAGGTAGCCTATTTATACCCAAGAAACTTTATTATCTTGCTATTTCTCTTATCTATAGGAATGATTTCATATGGAATTCTGAAATGTTAGGCCAGAAGAAGTCATGGTAATCCTTTTTCCCACTTACCACATCTCATTTATTCTCTGCTCCAGAATTTGAATGTACCCAAAGGCCCAAAGTTTACCCCCTATAAGCACTGTCAGATTGTGCCTACAATGGGCAGGAAACCATTCTAAAAAGACATCAGTGTTCCTGCAATTTCCAGATTTCTCAGCCTGCATTCACTTAAAAATTAGATGGAAAATAAGTTCACCTTGATGAAATTTTAAATCACCAAGATTAGCCTCAGGAAACAGAAACTCTACCCTTGTTTGAAATTCTAATATGAATCTTCTTCAGAGATTTCTATTAAATATTATTTCTTTTGGCTCAAGTTTTTATGTTTGAGGATTAGTTCATGGAAATTCAGTAGCTACAGAGGAAAAGAGAATCCACTGAGCGTTAACCAAAGTGGTGCAGTTGCAGAGAACAAGACTTTTCCAGAAAACACTTTTCTCTCTTAAAAAATTGTATTAATTTTAGTGGCCTCTTAATTTTCAGACCAAAGAATAATTAGAAATAGGACTTAAAACATTCTTACTAGTTTCTTATCACCTGCAATGCAGTCCTCTTAGTAATATACTCTTAATTAGTGCCCTGTAACTATCTCCCTGACCCTACACATCATCTCACTTTAATTCAGCAAAACCTTTTTTGGAAAGTGCTTTGTGCAAGACACTAGCAGGTGCTGCGAGAGGTACAGTCTGTGCCTTAATTTTATCCCTCTAAAGCACAAATAACTACAATGCTAGGCTGAATAGGATTTAAGTGCCACAAGGACAAAAATTACATGCTGTGGGACACATTAAGTTTCATAAGGGATGTAGCATACAGCATGCGTACTGGAGAGTAGAAATAAAGGAATAGTAGTAAGACCAGCATGAGCAAAGACGTAGACATGTATGTGTGAGGTTGGTGTAGGAACTTGTGAGCAATTCACTTTGGTGTATGGGAAAGCAACAAAGGAAGATAAAACTGGAAAAAAAGATAGCATCTGTATATTCAGGGTTTTATATAACAAATAACTGAGCTTACACTTAATTCCCTATGTTTTCAGGTACTAGTAAGTTTTAAGCAGGGGCATAACGAGAGCTATCTTAGGAAGATTAACCTGTAAAACGAAATGGGGGAGGCGGAAACCAGAAGGTGGAAAGGTCACTGTTTATGCATCTAATCGATAGGTATTATTGAGCATCTCCTGTATGTTTTGTGTTGAGGATAAAACAATGAATGAAGCAGACACAGTGTCTGCCCACACAGAATCTTTAGTTTTAGCAGATTTGTTTAGGCAACAGTCTACACAAGAATTAAGGGGTCTCAGTCAGGGTACTGATGCTGGCAAACGAAGTTCAAGTTTTCGCTTTAATTTTCAGCTTGAGCTATTTCAGGCCCTCATTGAGAGAAAGCATGCTAACTTGGGTAATTGTTATCTATGAGAATATTTTTCTGTAAGGTAAACCCTATAAGTCTCCATATAACACCATCAGTAGGTTCTGCAACTTTAAGTGTAACAATTTATAACAAAACAATTTTACTATAGAGTAATTAATATAACTAAGTTATATTCCTCTGGCTTCTAATAAACATGATAACAAAATGACATTGAACAAAAAGGATTATTCAAGGTCCTGCTACGAAGATACCACATTCAAATGAGTCCTCTGTGTAGTGGATATCTGGCTTTGTTGTCTTTGTTTATGTTTCTCTTCTCAGTATAACCTGTACCTTAGTATTGCTAGCCTTTCTTCCTATCCTAGGCTGTTCTATGGACTTGGCATGGTAGGCATCACATGACCCTGGCTACAGTAGTAGCAATGGGGATGGGCATGTGACTAGAAAAAGCATAACTAGACCCAACTTAGAAGCTCTAAGAAAAATGTGCCTTCCTTTTACCTTTGAGTTCCCTAAAACCCTGGGAAGATGTCAGAATAGAGCTATCTGAGGCCAGGGGCCACTTCTTTCCTCCTGTCCCCTTATTTAAGAAGTAAAATAGTTCCCAACATCAAGGTCATGACAAACGTGTGAAGAATCAATGATGAGCAATGAGACACAAAATATTTTATTAATAAAGTTAAAGCAACAGTGTTTGTACATTCTTTTTTCTTTAGAAATCCAGTTGGATAAGTTTTTCCTACAGCAAACTCATTTGTGTGCAAAAGCATTTCAATATGCTTTTGTGGGAGCAGAATATTGGACACAGGGAATGATCCATACCCTTCAGTCTATTTGACCTGTGAACAGCTTGTCAGTAGTGTGTGTGCGCCCTGTGAACCCCACATGTATGGGATGTGTTAAGAAGGAAGCCTGGGAAATTACCCTTACATCAGGGCTGTCAAACTCATTGTCACCAGGGTCCACATCAGCCCCTCAGTTGCCTTCAAAGGGCTGAATGTAATGTTAGGACTGTATAAATGTAACTACTCCTTAACTAGGGGCAAGGAGCTCGGTACTACCACCCAGTAGAAACAAGGTGCTAGGCCAGATAAAACAAGGTGGAGGGCCCTCAGGCCTTTTGTTTGCCATGTCTCAGGTTGTAAAATTCCACCCAAAAAGTCCGAGACTCATCTTTAAAATTTAACTGCAGCAGGAACAAAAAACACCAATAATATTTATTTCACTTGATTTTTCAAGTAGAAAAATCTAATCCCAAGGAGATAAATCAAATTACCCCAAATCTCCTGCACATCCTGAAGCTCAGCCTTAGGGTCCTGCTTCTTGCTCTAAGGTCCTGAGCCAAATGCTCACCTGTGCCTCCTCCAGTCGTAAATGAAGCACAAGCACGGGTGCAGGTCTCCCACTTGCTTGTTTTTCCATTTTTCTGCAGAAGCTTACCCAGGAGAGGCTGTATTTGGTTTGGTCTGTGTGAATTTTGTTGGTAAATTGAATGGAGGTCTCCGGGTTTACACTAAGGGTTTTTTTTTTCTTAATCCCCAAATAAACAATAACTATATAAATAAAGGTAGCTTTAGCAGGTGTCTTGGAACTTAACATAGCTCCATTATTTCTCCTTTGGTAAGTCATATGATGATTTCACAATATCTTAAAAGCTGTTTTCTATGTTGCTGCCAAAGTCACTGACAAAAAAATAGATTAGCACTTAGTCCACAATATTTTTCACATTTTACATATTTTCTACTGTTATGGGAGTGTGTAATGGGCATTAGAAAGGACTTAAAATATTGACACTATGGTATCCCTTTTAAAAAGACATAGAATTAAATATACTGTAGTTTTAAACACGGCAAATAAATCAGTGTGGTTTTATTCAGATTAGAATAAAGCTAAATGCTTTTTTAAAATTATATTTTACTGACGATGCTGTTACAGTTGTCCCAATATTTTCTCCTTTGCCTGCCTCCACCCAGCACCCCCCACTTCCTCAGGCCATCCTCACACTGTTGTTCATGTCCATGGGTCAAGTATATAAGTTCTTTGGCTACTCCATTTCCTATACCATACTTTACATCCCCACGGCTATTCTGTGCTGCCAATTTATACTTCTTAATCCCCTCCCCTCTTCACATATTCCTCCATGCCCCTCTCCCATCTGGCAACCATCAAAATGCTCTCCATATCCATGATTCTGTCTCTGTTCTTCTTGTTTGTTTTTTAGATTCAATTGTTGATAGATATATATTTATTGTCATTTATTGTTCACAGTATTGATCTTTTTCTTAAATAAGTCCCTTTAACATTTCTTATAATAATGGTTTGGTGATGATGAAACCTTTAGTATTTTCTTGTCTGGGAAGCTCTTTGTCTGCCCTTCGGTAGTAAATGATTCTTTGCTGGGTAGAGCAATCTTGGCTATAAGTTTATGACCTTGAATATTTCTTGCCAGTCCCTTCTAGCCTGTGAAGTTTCTTCTGAGAAATCAACTGACAGTCTCATGGCAATTCCCCTGTAGGTAACTAACTGTTTTGCTCTTGTTCCTTTTAAGATTTTCTTTTTATCATTAACCGTTGGCATTTTAATTATGATGTGCCTTAGAGTGGGCCTCTTCATACCAATCCATTTTGGGACTCTCCATCTTGTTCGTGCTTCCTTGAGTCACATTCCTATTTCTTTCACCAAATTAGGGAAGTTTCCTTTTATCATTTTTTTCAAATAGATTTCCAATTTCTTGCCCTTTATCTTCTTCTTCTGGCACCCTTATGATGAGAATGATGGAATGTTGAAAGTTGTCTCAGAGGCTGTTTATACTAACTATCCCATTTTTTTTCTTCTTTTTATTCTGATTGGTTAGTTCTTGGTTCCTTATGTTTGAAATCATTGATTTGATTCTTGGCTTCATCCATTCTACTATTGTTTCACTCTGCATTTTTCTTTATTTTAATTAGTGTATCCTTCATTTCTAATTAGATCATTTTTTTATGCTGTTGAGGTTCTTATTACATCCCTTGAGCATCTTATAACTAGTGTTCTGAACTGTGCATCTGATAGATTGCTTATCTCCATTTTGTTTAGTTCTTTTTCTGAGGTTTTGGTCTGTCCTTTCATTTGGGCCATGTTTCTTTGTCTTGTCATTTTGGCAGCCTCCCTGTGTTTGTTTCCATATATTAGATAGAGCAGTTATGACTCCTTGTCTTGGTAGCATGGCCTAATGTAGTAGGTGTCCTATCGGGTCTAGTGGTACAGCCTTCCCTTTCACACATGCTGGGTACTCTGGGTATGCCCCTTGTGTGGGCTGACTATACCCTCCTCTTGTAGTTGAGCCTTGGTTGTTGTTGGCAGCTAAATAGGAGGGATTTACTCAGGCCAGTCAGGTGCAAGGACTGGCTGTGACCACTGACCATAAACCTCTGCCTTCCATGAAGGATCAGCTGTGCAGT